GACTGGTGCGCTTGTGCACAGCCTGTCAGTTGACATCTAAGGTAAGTGGTCCTAAATCCGACAGGTATCTGATCTATTTCATGAGACTTCTGTCTGAACGGCCAGGTCACACTCATTCAACCTACACGTCATCGATACACGACAAACTAGGGCTGGTCCAGATAGCGCTTTATGGTCTCTGGATATTCAGACCCAATTAATGATGAATATTTGGTGCGGTCGGGGGACACTTCCACCCCGGGGCAGCGTTCTGACGGGGTGGAAGTGGCCGGAACGCACAGGCAGTACTTGGCTGCTGATGCCAGTTTAGGAGAGCAGTCACACTTCTGTTTCCACCATCGGCGGCGGCGGGGGAGTGGCGGGCGATTTAAAAGTTTTTCTAAAAATATACGCTCCACCGTGACCATCCGTGTTTACTTCCATAAACACTGAGCACACTCGCTGCGTGTGACGTCGTCGTGTCCTCTTCTGAGCATGAGGGACACTTTTGGGTTGTATGAAGTTCACACAGCAGATCACATACAAGTCGCATTGAACTGGAAATGTGGAAGAACTCACAAAAAAATCTGAACTGAGCTTTAAGTCCTGCAGTGTGAACGTAGCCAATCTGTGGGATTGTTCAGTCAGATAATACGCCGTTATCCTGATTGGTGAAATAAAATGTCATGTCGGAGTCAGAATCCAAGGCTGTCGGTATGTTAAGACTGTTTTTAATGGGTTCTGTTAGTTTTTCCTAAAAACCTGTCGGATAGCAAGGTTTAGGATTGTTAAGGGTCAGATTATCAAGTCACGACTGTATCTGTATTTACAGCAACTCTAATCAACTTTAACTGTAGTTGCCTGTAAATTATTTTGTTTTTTCTTCTACAAGGTATAAACTGTGACCTGCAGACATTCACCATAAATAACATATTAATGATTCACAACTGAGATCTGCCGACTCTGTTCGACATTTAAAAAAGCATATTCAACACCTAAAACAATAAGAGATAAGGGAAGGTACACGGATGTGGAATTTAGTCTTCAATGGCAGTAATGTTTAACAAACTGCACTATATTAAATATATTTTAGAAACTAGGGAAAATGATTTAACTTCATGTAAAAAAAGGGGGGGAAATGAGTATGTAGCTGCCTGAATGAAGTCAGTGCTCTAAGAAGCAGTGCAACAGAAAACACTTTCCCTAATTCTCCTGAAATTTTTCCCTCAAATATGCGACTTTTCAAATCAGTTAGATGAATCACGAGCTGAAGTGACAGAAAGGTGAATGTAAAATGTATTACAGTACAAAGAAGAGCTCCTATGAAAGATAAATGACTTCATCTGCACTTTTATTCCTGTTTGAAACTATTTAAATCACATCAAACTCTTTTTTATTTATATAGCACCTCTCATACAATAAACATACAGTTTGATAAATAAAGTATTTAAACAATGTGTAAAGTGACAACTTGTACGACTGAGCACCAAAAGCATCTAATTATGAGCGCCTACATTTTAAAAATGACATTAAAGCACAATGTAAAACGCTGACTTGCGTTATTCAGTTTAAGCTATAAAAAGTGCATTTTTGTGATTTCTATGCAAAAGAGACGACATATTTTGTGCTTGTTGTTGTTAATATTTCGCTGTGTGCAGGTTTCACTCAGCGGCATGTTAACTGTGCTGTAATGTGGCCTACATTAGCGCTGCCATATGACAGAGGGACGCCCATGCATAGCTAACCGCGGTGCTCATGTGTTGGATTTAACTCAATATGTGGAAACTACATATCTCTCAATCATAACCGTTCTGTTTTCGCTAAAGAGGTCACTGAGCAAACCGAGGCAGCGACTCTGCGGAGTCACATGTTGAGGGGAGACATTAAAACATGGAGGCAGCATGTGATGTAATTAAAGGTTACACTGTACGGGCACAACACATGGCTCTGAAACGGGAATTAACGAAGGCAAATGTGACGCCGGCAGTAGAATGAAATGAGATGAGAGGAAAAACAGCAACCCTTCACCTACTATTCATATTAATATATTCCCCTTTTTTATATACATACATAGAATATAATTAATTAGCGCTGCGTCGAGGTGAGTACAAAATTACCCCCCAAATATTCTGACAGTTGATTAATTTTTAAGCTAAAACAGTCCAATTGCAGCTCAGGTTTTTGTCACCAAGCTGAATCGAAACAAGACATTTAAAGACTCACTTTGAACCTTTTTTACAACATCTTCTAGACAAAAACATAATAAAAATAAGTGAGAAAGTAGCAGGCAGGTTAAGGCCTTGTCCACACGTAGCAGGGTTTTTATAAAAACCGAATATCCTCCCCCCTTCACACCACCTTGTTTTTAGAAAAAAAAAAAAAAAAAGTGTGTCGTTAAGCACATTCATAAGCTGCCAAACCTTTAGGTGGCAGGAGTTCCCCAAATCCTATCCAATCAGAGTAAGCTTCTGTCTCTCAACATTGTAAAATAACCGTCCTTAGCTTCATCCTTCGCCTGTGTTCTTGTACATGGACCAGTATCTGGGCTTGTAAAAACAAGAAAGCAAAAAGCTTGCTGGACAAGAGACAACGCCAACACAGGGCGTCCACGCTGTTTCCAAATGTAAACACAGGTCCCATATGTGATTTAAGAACATATTTTGTCGCAGGCAGTGACGTTTGGAAACGTAAAACCCCGGTTATTGACGTCCATATAAACGGAGTATTTGCAGATCTTCACTTTGGTTTTGAAAGAATCGTTTTTAATGACGTAAATCTGCGCTTTCGAGGCCAAATCATAGAAAAACATCTTTTTGTGAAACACCCTGCTACGTGTGAACGAGGCCTGAGAAAGAATGAAAACAGTGTTTCAATGTGGATCTTCTATTTAAAAAGAAAGAATAATTTCTCCACTTATTCTCAAAGTAATTTGCATTCACTTGTGCTCAGCCACCCTGAAACCTGATCAGTTTTCTATAAAATATGGGACACTTATCAGGAGAATCAATTCATTGTGTATTTCAGTTTTTAAGTCAAGTCACGGCTTCTCCAGAGATAATTATTATAAATATCACACTGAGGAAACAAATGCCGGACGTCGCCTTCTTTCTTTAACTTTACTAAATGCCTTAGAAGTTTCTCTACAATCGACCAACCGAGTTGCTGCACTAGTTCACAGTTTCTCCAGTAAAATCTCTAAAAGCTCAGGATCAATCAGCACCATCAGAGGCGTCAATGCTTTTTAATTTACAGCAAATATTATTTATTCTGAATATTTTCTGAGCGTAAGAAGTGCATTACAACAGCGAGTTTTGGGTTTTGATGCTTAAACTCTAATAGTATTAGCAGTTGTGGCGTTATATTGCTGCATGAACTGGTCTGATCGCGGATGTAAATACAAAATGAGGCAACAGATAGTCAGCCTAAAAATAAAAACTTGATTCATTACAGTCAGGCGTGGATAGTGAAGTTGGGCCAAAGCTAAAATAGTTCTGTTTTTATGCATGGCAAGAATGCCAGTGTTTCCTGAATCATCATAAACGCAAATGCTATTTAATCCAAAACGTACATATAGTCCTGCACTACTAATTTAAATAGCAAAAAGGACAAAAACGTACCTTAATATGCCAGTATAGTAGCTTAATAATACTTCCATTTAATGTAAAACAGAATTCAAACCCATTTTTTGTTCTTCCTGTAATGATTTGGTTCCCAAAAACTACTACAATTTATAATACAAGCACAATTTATGTGCAGTTTTCCACATAAAGCAGCCCTATTAGCTTGATAACATCCTGAAGATATTTAGGCATTACTTCTTCTTAAACACTGAAAACAGCTTAATATGCTCATATTTTTTATTTCAAACTTTGAACTGCTGTCTCTTCACTGCACAGTCTAGTCAGTGACATTATTTCAGAGCTGCTGCAGCAACAGTTGGACAATAATGTCTGCACATAGAAACCAGTGTGTTTTATAGCAGCTGCTTTGGGCGCCCATCTTATATAACACAGACATTGGTTTATCTCAAATCAATTCAGCCTGCAATGTTCACTAAAACAGACAAAAAGTTGTTTAAAAACACTCACCACTGTTCTCAGGATAACTCTCGAGCTCCCAAAGACTCTGCAAACCAGCGGGGTGAAACAATATTCCGTCTTTCGAACGATAAAAAACGACTTTTAGTTCGTTCAGAAGCTCCAGCCCAAAACAAAGATGGCGGCTCGTCAGTCACCTGCACTGGAAACAATGGTCAGCTCCGCGAAGCTAAAGTATGCTAACGGCGGCTAACAGCGAGCTAATTAGCATTTTTTTGCGGTCATAAATGTGACCAAGAAACTCAGCAACAGTCCAAATTAGCACCATAGCATAATATATACTCACGTGATGTAGTGAAATGTTCCAGGTGAAGTTAGTAGCGACGTTAATCAGGTAAATAAAATAAAACAAACCGCTCTGTGAAGCAGCGGCAGCTCCTAAAGCGGTGTTTAGCTATTAGCTAGCTAAACTCCTGTTGTGCCTTTTTAAACAGATTAACTCTGTTTCGGGGTTTCTCCTGTGTTCGTTTCATTTTCTGCGTTTAATTTGTATTATTTTCTTCGGTTTTGTGCCTGAAATAAGTGAGTAATTCCTCTGAACCCTCCCGCTGACCCCTGCGTGACCTTAAACCTTTGACTGGAAATAAAATCACTGAAGATTTTTTTTTAAGTGTTAAAAGTAAAAGAAAACACAGAAAAACCCGCAGCAGAACAATCATCAAAAGAAAATAAAAATAAAAATAGAATCTCATCACATTTGAGTGTAATCTTTTTTTAGTAAGTTTTTGATATAAAAAAGTTTTATTATGACTTTTAACCGTTTCTTTCTATTAATTTCTTTTAGTAGCAATGTATTTTATCCTGATATATATGTATGAATAAAGTTTTATCTTATCGTATAACTCATCCTTTGTCATTGTTCATTGCTGTTTATTTTTATCAGTCTTTATTGCAGACTGTCAGATTACAGATTCTCAGCACAGATCACTACTTACACAGAATTTATTCATTCGTGCACACAGATCATTAATAAAACATGGTGTCTTGTAGCAGGCAGCCAAGTACATTCAGTCAGCTGGATGAAGAGGATGAGGAAGGTGTTAGCACAAATCAACATTTTAGTGGCAATGTCGCTGTTATCTTGTAAAATATGAAAAAACAACATTAGGTTTAGCCCCAAAAAATGCAAAACACATTCACAGATTAAAATAACCCTGTATTAAATTCATCAATGTTGAGAATGTGGGGTTATGCTAAAAAAAAAAAAAAAAACATGCAAAAAAGTCACAAGTTATTGATTTAACATTAATGTTTGTGGTGAAAGTTTATTTCAGATTAAAATCAACGAGAACAAAAACAGGTTTTCCATCTAAACATTCGGCCTCCGACTGAACTCACGTCCTAAAAAACCTGAAACCTGGCCGCATGTTTGGACTCAGTCTGTTGAATCCCAGCAGCAACAGAGAAGCTGACACTTTAAATCATCAGGATTCACGTCCCAGTATTTCATTTAAGCACATTTAATCCAGCTGATGTATAGGCTTCGCAGTGAGCTGACGGATCTGGTGAATTGTTATGTCTTTACGTTTTAATAAACCACAACAGATTCGTCACGGTGAGTCTGCAGAGACGCCTCCGACCTCCTCTTACACTCAACATCAACCTTTTTACCGTCAGAATAAATGGAGCAAAAACAAACTTTCAAAAGTGTGTTTCTAATATTTTCACTGAACCGCTCGCGCTTACTCTGACATATCGCTGTTTGTCTTTAAGTTTGTCTGTGTTGACTTTGGAACGGGAGTCCGGTTCTGTATAGCTGAGGATTTTTTCTCGCCTGGAGGACAAATGACCGACGAAAGTTAAATATTTGGTATGTTGCTGTAAATTTTCATCACATTTCATCAGTCGATTGCGCCAGAGACAAACAAATAACTGAAAAAAAGCGCAAAATGTGAGTCTTTAGAGTCCATTGACCCTGAAAAGTGGAAAATAATCAACTTTTACGCCATTTTATTTGACATTTTCAGCTACATGCTCTTCTTTGTTTTTCTTTTGAGCTCATAAAATACAGTAAAAGGCTTAAACCTGATTCAGAATTTGCTAAACAAACGCTATTCTGCATTAAACCAGACCTGAAACTAGCAATCGAGACCATGAACTCGTGAGAAAAAACATTTAATGAGGGAACAAATCAAGCGAGAATTCTGTTAATTTTCTCATTTCTGCTTGCAAAGGAGTCGCCCCCTGCTGGCCTCTAACAAAAATGCAGGTCTTTAAGTATTTTGGCGAGTTAAGAGCGTAATAATCTCCTTTTTCTTGACGCATTTTGGATAGTTGCAATTATTCACATGGAATTTATGCGGCACAAGTTTGTTTTTATTTAGTTTTTTTCTCATTAATCATCTTGGATTAATCTCACGACCACTTAGAGTCAGAGATGTGTTTGCTTTTTAGACAACTGGCTGTGACGTATTGTGATTTTATTGAGCTTATTTTATGTTTTGTCAATTCGTGCATTTGTGCAGGAGCATACACATTTACTGAGGGAACAAATCAAGAAAGAATTCGGTAATTTTCTCATTGACTTCTATTCATTTCCCCCTGCTGGCTGCTAGAAACAACGCAGGTCTAAGAGTGTTTTTCAACTATTTTGGCGAGCAAATGGTGTAATTATCTCCTTTTTCTTGTCGCATTTTGGATAGTTGTAATTGTTCACATGGAATTAGTGCGACACACGTTAGTTTTTGAAGTATTATTTTCTCACCAATCACCTCGGATTGTCTTACTCTCTTGATTATATGTTCGCTTTTTACACAACCGACTGCACTGAATTGCATCCGTTTGTGCACATTTTCAGCTTGTGCACAAAAAAGCTGAGCATGAACACAGATAACTAGATAAAAAAAAGTACCATTAAATGGCGCCAAAGCTTGATCGACTTGCTTCATCTGGATGTCTTCCTCTTATATTACTACAAATCAGATATATTTCATTTCTGCACGCTGCAGACGAGGTTGCTGCTGGAATGTTTCAGCCTTTTATTGCTTGTTTTTGCTGTTCTTCAAGGGCGTAAATTCACACTTCATGCTCCAAATGTATATTTTCTCACGATTAAAGTCACGCCGCCTCGTAGCCGAGGCTCACGTGTGTTTTTTTGCGATGCGTCCTGATGCGTCCATCCACCCGTCCGCTAACCCATCTGCCGTCGAGCATCAGCTCATCGGCCCATCGCGACTCTGACTCGGCGATCTGCAGGGACGTTAGCACCGTTCGCACGCAGAATCGGCCGAGTGAATTATTCATGTTTAGCTGCACGGGCTTCTCTTAAAATACACTCCTGCGTGAAAACAAGCCCGATTAGCCACCAGCGGGTCCATTTCAGGCTCCAGCGAGCAGCGAGGGTCAGCGGATGAGTAATGGGAGGAAACGGGGATGTCCGTCGCTGAAAGCATTCGGCTATTTCAGGCCCACGGTCGTTTAACAAAGAGTCCTTGTTTGCTCCAAACCGAGCGTTTATAAAAACAATAGTGGAGGGCTGCAAGTTTATAGAGCGAAAGGCCGAAATGTCAAAGAGGCCGCCTGAAGAATGGCCGTCGGTGCGAACAGCTGATATCACTCCGACTCTTACTGTGCAGGAAGGGTGTGTTTCAGAGCTGATTTTTATAAAAAGCGTGTGGATTTGATCATGTTGACTCGTTTTACTTTAAGGTAGTGAATGTTTCATGCCACTAAACTGAACCTGTAACGTGCTGTTTTTCAAATTTTGCAGCTAAAGGTGGCGTCAGCTCTCAGTAACCGCATCAAAAACAAACAGCTTTCACAGATCGCATTGAGAATAAACCAACACAGACGCGTGTTGCTTCACATCCTGCAGCGATGGCGGCTGATGTACGATCGCTCTTCCCGCCGTTGCCGCGAAACACGTCCTGGCGTGATAAATGGAGCTTCTTATCTCCACCTCTACTTACTTTGGACCGACCGAGTTCGGCTCAAACTGGATCTTTCAACAGCGGTCTGACGCCATCAGAGCGCTCAAGAGTTCGTCTCGTTCATCATCCGTTAGAAACAAACAGATGCAAGACGGGACCGAGGAGCGGCTCGACTGGAGAGTAAGAAAAGGTTTAAAGGACAGTTTGGTTCTGAGTGGATCAGAAGTTCAACATTTCAGGAAAAAAAAGGCTCGTTTTTCCACTGACAGACACAAAGATTAAGATCTTTCAATTTGTGGTTCTATAATTTTAAAGAATTTCCGAGCTTTTTCTCGTGATTTAACCATTTTATTTATAGAATATCTGCTGTTTTGCCTTAAATTTAATTGTAATCTTGGACATTCCGATTTTTTTTCTTGTAAATTTAGGACTAAAAGAATATTAAATTTAGTTCTCAATAATTGTTATTTTACTCGTCATTTTTTTGTTGTTGTTTCTCCTAAATTTACAGTCTTAAAATTGGACCTTCTTAGTTTTTTTCTCACAAATGTATGACTTATGTCAGATTGTTTTAGCTTTTTCTCACTAATTTGTGAGTTTTTTGTTGTTGTTTTTAAATCAGAGAATATCTTAAAATTCTCTTAAATTTTTTTTGGGGGGGGGGTGTCAAATTTATTAGTTTTCTCTTAAAGTTACAACTTTAATATTGCATATTCTGATGGTTTCAATGCAAATGTATAACTGTAAAAGACTATTCAATTGAATTCTCAACATTTGTGAATTTTCCTCAGAATTTTACCGACTTTTTTGTTTTGTTTCTGATAAACTTAGTCTTAAAATTGGACCTTTTGAGTTTTTTCCTCACAAATGTATGACTTATGTCAGATAGTTTTAGCTTTTTCTCACACACATTTGTGAGGTTCTTTTAACGCTCCTCGTGCCCGACAACAACCTGAAACTCCTCCTGAAGTCGACTGTTGTTTTTACATGTAGACATGTTTGACATGTAGGACGCCACACCTTGGTGTGTTTAAAGCCTTGATGGAATCTCTTCAGGTTAAAATCAGGTCTTCAACACACCGAGCTGACACCTGAAATCATTTTTTTTGCTTAAATGGTGCTTTTCTATCCCGTATCTTCATCTCTCTGTACGATGTGACGGATGTGACATCTCTCCCTTTTGTCTGAGCTCATTAAACTTTTTTCTTCCCTATAAAAGGAAAAAAAAAAAAGAGGGAGTGAAACAGAGAGAAATGCAGCAGTGATCTTAGAGAACGCTGTGATTTATGGACTCTGGGAGGTTTTTCTTCGCCTCCTGCTGACAGAAAGTGACAGATTTTCATTTTCCGCTCGGCTCAGTGAAGTTATTGCATATTTCTGCTCTGTAGCATAAAAACAGTGTTAGTGGGTCGGTCAGCGGCGCCTCACAGCTCTCCGTTAGCACAGGCCTGCATGGTGGCGGTTCTGGCGGGCCTGAAGCCTCGGTACTGTCCGTCTGGGCTCGGGTATTCCTCCCGGACCCTCCAGATGCAGCAGCTGGGGATGGCAGGGTGGCAGTCGTCGGGCGGCGAGCCGAACCTCCAGCTGACGTACTGCTGGTAGGCGCAGTGACGTAGGGCGGCAGTCTGGACCCGGTCCGCCGGCGGTACCAGGGGGTCTCGGTACAGCAGGACGGCCTCCAGCAGGGGGCGTCGCAGAACCAGCTGGTCGAACAGCGGCGACGCCGAGATGCAGCTGCCAGAGCTTCGCCTGCAACACAGCTGCTCCTGCAGGAGGGAGGACGGACGGCAGCGGCCACAGTTACACCAGGACGGAGGCTCGGGTCGGGGGTCCGGCTCGGCTTTACGGTCCAGAGGAGCATCGTGATCTGGGCCAATACCGGGCTGCAGGAGGCAGAGAACAGCTCTCAGGTGTCCCAGGTCCTCCTGGTGGGACAAAGAAACACCTGATTAAGAACTTTATGCGCTGATGTGAACATGATGCCGACATGAGAGTTATTTAGGAGACAATATGATGGTTGAATGATTTTAACCACATGAACTTTAAAATCTGTGTTTGAAGGCACGTTTTCTTTAAAAATATGACTACAAACAAAACGACTACATTTATTAAAGCTGGAAACTGTAAAGACAAAAAGAACATATCCTGACACGTATCGGAAAAACAACAATATGATGTTTCTTGTCTCATTTCAATTTAAAAAAAATAAATAATAATCAAAAATAAACAATTTCTGGACTCCTGTGTGCAACCGAAGAAGCATGACGGACAAACAGTCAAAAATTCGGAAACTTCTCGGCTGAACTGCAGCCAGTGTTTCCTCAGAGACACTGAGAGGAAAATCCAACCTACTGGATCAGTAAATAAATACAGCATGGCTCAGAACCAGTGAACAGAGGAGCCAGTTGTTGGAGATACATCCAGCTGATGGTGGAACATCTTTCTACACTTATATCTGTAGTATGTGGAGACAAAACGACCACAAAGAGACACAAAATGACAAAATAAGACGACAAAGCAAGAAAAAAAAAGGCACAAAATGAACACAGAGAGATCAAACTGTCCCAAGGACGTATTTAATGATCAAAATGAGACACAAAACGTCAAAAATGAGACATAAAATGACAAAAACAAGAGAAAATAAGACACTGAATGACAAAAACAAGACACAACATGGTGGACAGGAGACATAACTATACCAAGGAGAGACAAAAAGACAAAAAAAAAACAACCAAAATGACACAAAACAAAGACGACAAGAGAGACTGAGAGGAAAATCCAACCTCCTGGATCAATAAATAAATGCAGCACGGCTCAGAAACAGTGAACAGAGAAGGCGATACATTCTAAGATTTATGACGTTCATTCAGTTTATTTTCTTTTATCTTTGCAGTAAACTGAGTCTGGGCTGCAGGTCTTTACCTTGCGAGGCAGCACAGACATGGGTTTGACGTCTTGTAAACTCTTCCTCTGCGATCTCTTCACCAGTCGAAGGTCGTCCTCGTCCACGTAGGAGACGCAGAGGACGCACTGCGACACGTGAAAGTCAACAAACTGTTAAAACACACAAAGGTTCTGGTGAAGCGGAGCAGCAGAGCATCACGTGGAGGCTCTCGTCACCTTCTGCTGGTCCCGGACGGCCTCCACCTTCCTCTCCGAGTAGTTGTGTCCCACCTCGGCCGAGTAGCAGCTGGTTCCGATCAGCCAGTCGATCAGCACCGTCGTCTGTAGAAACACACAGTTTCAGCTGAATGACGGAGAGTTTTTAACTCTGACAACATACGAAAGCTCATTTATTCTGCAGCTTTACTCTGTCTGGAGGGTTTAGTTATGGAAGTCTGCCTCTAAAATACAAAATAATATGAATAAATGATAAAGATCAGTGAGAGAAGATTAAAATATACATGAAATACTCCTTGAAGTCAACATTTTGACTTAAACTACAAAATAAAGTTGGAATAATGAAGCAAAACTTTAACGTTTTAACTTTAAATTGAGCGTTTTTACTAAAACAATGAAACAAAGTTAAGTTCAGGGAACAAAAAATAGTTTGAATGAGTCAAATGACATTCAGGGGGGAAAAAAATTAGAAATAATTACAACATAAAAAGTGGCACAAAAAAGGAAGAAATTATAGGATTTGCCCAATATTTTGACTGAAATAATTCAACTTAGTCAAAACTGTGGGTTAAAAAGTAAAACATGTAACTCATCAAGTCAAATTCATGAGACAAAGACTAAAAAATATGAGAAAAAAGAAAAAAAAAATCTATGTTAAGTCAAAATGTTGGCGAACAGAAAAAATGTAAAACATGAGATAAAAGTAAAAAAATATATAAGATTTATCAGATAAAAAGCCTAAATTTTGACTAAGAATTCTAAGATAAAAATGAGAAAAAATACAAAATAAAATGTGATATAAAGTCCAAAAATCTAAATGTTAAGTCAAAATGTTGACGGAGCAAATATTAAGCCTATAAAAGTAATATTCATGTCAGATAAAAGTACGTTTGACTGAGTAATTAAAAAAATACTGACTAAAAGGTTAAAGAAGAAAAATTAACAAAAATCTCCACATTTAGTCAAAATATGATCATAGAACAAGTTACCTTCTTAAATAAAAGCAAAAAATATGAGATTGAAAGAATTTTGACAAAGTCAGAGATATGAGCTTAAAAAAGTACAAAAATATAAAATAAAAGACAAAAATTGAGCTAAAAAGTCATAAAAGCTCAACATTAAGTCAGATGTCGACAAACACAATATAAATTTCCCTGAGGTCTTGTACCAAAGGGATTAATAAAGTTTTATTCTAATTCTAATTCTAATTTTATTCTAAATAAAGTCTAAATTACGAGATAAAAGTTTAAAAAAAAAAAAAAAAAAGGATAAAAAGTCTAAAATACAAGATAGAACAAATAATAAACAAAAAAAATTCAGAGATAAAAAAAGAACAAAAATCTCCATGTTTAGGCAAAATATTTTTTAAGTTCTTAAAAATTAAACATTTCAATTCCTAAAAATTAAAATTATGAGATACATGAGGGGAAAAAAAATCTGATAAAAAAAGTCAAAAAGATTTTTTTTTTTATTAAAAAATACCAAATCAAAATCCTGAGATTAAAAAAAATCAGTGTTTAGTGAAATTATTTTTTAAAAGTATTTTTAAAAAAAGTAAATACAAATATGAGATTGAAAGTTTCAATTTTGACAAAGTCAGAGATATAAGATAAAAAATGTTGCAAAATAGAAAATAAAATCCAAAAATCGGGCTAAAAAGTCGTAAAAGCTTAACGATAAGCAAAATGATACCAAAAAAAAACTCCACGTTTAGGCAAAATATAAAAAAGTGTAAATTATGAGACAAAAGTTTAAAAAAAAAAAAACAGATAAAAAAGTCAAAAATATTGCAAAAATTAAAAATATTAAAAATGTAGTTTAATGAAATTATAAAAAAGTGAGAAAAAAGGAAATAAAAACATGAGCTCAAAGTCAAAATGAAACTTAAATTTTGAAGAACAAAAGTTATTCTGAGTCAAAGTTGTGAATTAAGGAGTTAAAACATGAGATAAGCAGTATGAGCTGAGACGATCTGAACGCTGCTTCACTCCTTTTATCTCATAAATGTGACTTCAGCAGAACGTCTTCTGGAATCGTGACTGTTTTTCTTTTTCATTCCTTGTGTTGTCGGCGATCCTCCTCCTGTTTGTGCAGATGCAGCTCTTTGTTATGTTTGTGAATGAATGGAGTCTGTGTTTCCTCACCAGAGCGTAGTAGGACAGCGTCGAGCCGATGTAGAGGACGAGCTGGACGAAGCTGAACTTCCCCGCCTGGAAAACACATCAGAGTGTCGGTGCTCCGAGCTGAAGCCAGAAACTGAGAAGGGTTCAGGTCAGACGCTCTGCAGGGAAACAACCCAGCCAGCAGCCGGCTGACCTGATGAACAGCGCTTCACTAGTTAAGAACTTCTCTGACCAGAAACGTGCAGCTTTAGATTCACAGTTTGTCTTCTCTGAGCTCCCACTGCTCAGTAGTTTACGATTTCACACCTAATGTGGAAACTAGTCATGTTTTTGTCGTACTTTTCAACATTTTCAGTTCATTTTAATCTTAGAAAAGGATCTATTAACATCCACTGTTTGGCTTCACGATTTGTTCTTGTGCACATATTTGAGTTGTTGCCTTTTTCACAACATTTACAGAAGTCCATCCATCATCTATACACCACTTAATCCTCTCTAGGGTCATGGGGGGCTGGAGTCTATCCCAGCTGACTGAGGGTGAAGGCAGGGGACACCCTGGACAGGTCACCAGTCTATCACAGGGCTACACTTAGAGACAGACAACCAAGCACACTCACATTCACACCTACAGACAATTTAGAATCACCAATTAACCTCAGCATGTTTCTGGACTGTGTGGGAGGAAGCCGGAGAACCCGGAGAGAACCCACGCTGCACGGGGAGAACATGGAGACTCCACACAGAAAGATCCCCGGTGTCCTCACTGGGATGCGAACCGGCGACCTTCTAGCTGTGAGGCAACAGTGCTAACCACCGAGCAGAAGTTCAGTTCTCTAAAAATGTGTCAAATCAATTAACCTGATCCAACTCATGATTGCGATATTTAGAATGTCCTTTTCCTAATATCCTGACACACTGAAAACAATGACTGCAGTTTTTTATTTTGTGATTTAAATTCTTTTAAACACACAAATCGGTCAGATGGTAAAGCTCTGTCACAGCTTTTCTTTCTCCAGACGACTTCACATTTGTCCAGTTTTAGATTTTTTAAGGACATCAGATACATTCTTCTAATTCTAAGTCTAATTTCTTAACTTTGGACTATTGAGATACAAAAAACACATTTAAAAAACACGAGTGTGTAGTTCCTTTAGGAGGAACAGGAGTTCAACGCTGCAGGTTTAACCAACAAAAAGTTACCATGAGCGACAACGAACACAACAAGACTAAACGTTAATGCATTGAAGTCTTAAATCCAACCAGAGACTCTGACAAGTGCAAGGAAAAGTAAGAAAACACATGAAAACTTTGGCTTTGTTGGAAATGCAAATATCTGCAGGATTGAAGCCGATCGGGTTTAAACTTCCAGAAAAAGACACGAGAAACTGAAGAAGACAAAGGAGGAAATAAAAAGCTCAAACACTGGAAAACGAAGCCTTTAAAATGTCAAATAAAGAGAGAACAGAACCCACCTGTCCGAACACCATGACGTCGAATCTGATCCCGAAAGCTTTGTAGAGCGTCCGCTGCTCCACTCCGTCCATCAGGTTGTACTTCGCAAACCTGATCAGGAGAAACGACGAAGAATAAAAACAACCTGCAGAGACTTCAGGTTTAACAGGAAGCCAATTTATTTACATCAAAGTCTAAACACAAAAATCAATGAAGCAGGAACGTTTTCATCTTGTTTTTGTACATTTTATTGGTATTTTTGTGCCATTTTTGTGTTGTTTTGAAACATTTTCTGTCTTTCATGATGCATCTTTTTCTTGTTTTTTGTCCCGTTTCTGTCTTGTTGTCATTTTAACTTATTTTTGCAACATTTGATGGTTATTTTTAAGCTCTTTTTGTCCTGTTTTGAAACTATTTTTGTCTTGTTTCTGCTCAGATTCATCATATATTTGCACCACTTCTGTCTTGTTTGATGCCGTTTCCACCTCTTTTTTGTAACATTTAGTTTTAATACTCGTTTGCCTTGTTTCTGTACCACTTTTGTCTCTTTCTGCTCTATCTTTGTCTTGTTGTTGCAGTTTTTAACTTGTTTCTACAACACTTTGCTGCTGGTTTTGCATTATTTCATTGTTATTGTTGTCTTGTTTTTTAAATTGTCTTTTCCATTGATTACTGTCTTATTTTTGCACCACTGTTGTCTCGTTTTTGCTCAGTTTCATCATTTATTTTTCAACACTTCTGTCTTGTCTTGATGCTGTTTTAACCTCGTTTTTGCATCATGTCGATTTAATATTGTTTTTGTACCATTTTCATCTCTTTTTGTGTCTTGTTGTTGCGGTTTGTAAGTTGTTTTTGTAACACTTTGGTCGTGTTTTTGCATAATTTTATTGTTATTTCTGTGCTATCGGATTTGAAACTGTCTCTGGCGTGTCCTTTACATGGATTATTGACTTATTTTTGCACCACTTTTGTCTTGTTTTCATGCTGCTTTACGTCGTTTTTGCAACAATTTGTTTTGAAAATGTTGTTTATCTTGTTTTGCATCATATTTGTCTCGTGGTTGCAGCATTTAAATGATTTCATGAAGAGTTTGTTACTGTTTTGCACCATTTCATCTTGTTCTGATGCTGTTTTTTACCTTGTATTTGCAACTTTTTTTATTGCTTTTACGAACACTTGTTGTCTCATTGTCGTAGACTTTTGGTCCCCTGCTGTGGTTTTCTGCTGAACTTGACCTCTGACCTTCGCTCACCTGAAGTTGAGGCCGGGGTAAAGCGTCTTGTTGCTTTCTTTCTCGTCCAGACGCCTGAAGGAGTATCTGGGGAGGCAGTGGTGCATCAGAGGGTCCAGGTTACAGTCCCATTTGATCTGGATGCCGATGACGCCCCCCTGTGGTCGACAGGAGAAACCACAGTCAGACAGAGAGCCGCTTATCTGGAAAACTTTGCTGAGGAGAAACCAGAACTGAGCTGTTTGCATCTGTTCACAGTGACATCAGCATTGGATCTGAACACAGCGTTGAGGTATTTACATGACATAGGACCCTAAAGACAGTGCTGAAATAGTAGAAAACAGTACAAAAACAAGACAAAACAATGCAATCATAAAAAAAAAAAAAAAAAGGCCAAGACGAGACGAGAGCTGTTTCAAATCAAAACAAAAGTGGTGCAAAAACCAGAATAAAAGAGCAAAAACAAGGTAAGGCTGCAACAAAAAGACAAAAACAGGGTAAAACCAATCATAACATGATGCAAAAACAAGACAAAAAGCACCAGAAAAGAAAAAACCTGTTTCAAAACAAGACAGAACAGCACAAAAACAACAATAAAACGTTGCAAAAACTACGTAGAAACAAGACAAAATGGGAAAAAACACTTCTAAACAAAATGGTGTGAAAATAAGACAAAAATGGTGCAAAAACGAGATGTAAGGAGTATAGCAATAGTGCAAAAAAGGAGAGAATAAAACGCTGCTAAAGCTGTTTTTCAAACAAGACAGCAATGTTGTAAAACCTTTTCTTTTTTTTCTTTTTTTTTAATATGCAAAAACCAAACAAAAAAACGGGACAAAAAAAATTGCAAATAAAAATGAAATTTTGCAAAAAAGACACAAAAAACAAGTAAAAAGTAAACTAACAATAATGGAAAATGACTCTAATGTTTGTAGAAAGGACGTGTTTCAAATAATTATTTATGGTTGTGAGAGAAGTTAACAGAGAAATGAAGGACGTCTTCCTGGGAACAGAAACAGCACAATATTTATTATTATTACTATTATTATTTACGGACTGCAAGGTGGTGCAGTTGGTAGCACTGTTGCCTCGCAGCAAGAAGGTTGCCGGTTCGCGTCCCGGTGGGGGCACCGGAATCTTTCTGCGTGGAGTTTGCATGTTCTCCCCGTGCAGCGTGGGTTCTCTCCGGGTTCTGCAGCTTCCTCCCACACAGTCCAAAAACATGTTGGGGTTAATTGGTGATTCTAAATTGTCTGTAGGTGTGAATGTGAGTGTGCTTGGTTGTCTGTCTCTAAGTGTAGCCCTGTGATAGACTGGTGACCTGTCCAGGGTGTCCCCTGTCTTCACCCTAAGTCAGCTGGGATAGACTCCAGCCCCCCATGACCCTAGAGAGGATTAAGCGGTGTATAGAAAATGGATGGATTATTATTTACTTATATGCTGACTTTGCCGTTTCAGCCACATGACCTGAGGCAAAACTTCCTCATCTGGTCTGTTTCACTTCTGTCTGAGGACAATGAAAGCCTCGGAGAACCCAGAAAGAGAAAGTGTCCTGGTCTCATAATGTCGCTGCATCCTGGAAACTCAATAAAACAACATTTTACTGACTGGAGCCAGAAAAAAACATTCCAAGATGTAAAAGAAATGAATCTCACCTCCACCGCCATCTCTGAGAACTTCTCTCCGGCCGCCCGGACGACGTCTCCCAGTCTGAAGATGGGACACAGCGGGTCGTTTCTATGGTTACAGGTCTTCAGGTAGGCATCGTTCATACCTGGGAGGATGTTACGTCTGAAAACACAGCATTCACAGAAAGTCACAAGTTTCCTCCCAGCGCTGAGACATGAATCATTTGTTTTTTCTGTTTTCACTCTGCAGGAACACTCTGATCATTACAGGTCAGCCAGAGGGCAGCAGGGGCTCAGAACGGTGAAGAACGTGACGTATTTTCATGTAAACCTGGAAATAATTAGAAAGGATTTAGGAACATTTTGAGAGTTCTGACGTGTAAACGGAATAAAAACACATCAGATTCTAAAGTTTTTAAACTGCTGGAACTTTTTTTCATTTGTTGTATTAAACTTTTACAAATTTAAAAAAAGAAGAAGAAGAAGAAGCAGCATAAAGCACAAAACCAAGACAGTTTCAAAACTAGACCAAAACAGCACAAAAATAATGATAAAGTATTACAGAAACAAGATGAAATATGTGCAAAAACAGGCACAGAGGGTTGCAAAAAACTGTGCAAAACCTAAACAAAAATGATGCAAAAGCAGAAACAAAGTGTTTTGTGAAAACAAGTTAAAACTGCAGCAACAACAACAACAGCAAGACACAAATGGTGCAAAAAGTGACAATAATGGTGCAAAAATAAGACAAAACACGGTGCAAAGATAAGACAAAAATTGTGCAAAAGTAAGACAAAAGTTGTGAAAAAAAACACATAAAACTGGTGCAAAAAAAGATTTTAAAAATGGTGCAAAAAAAACCACATAAGTGGTGCAAAAAAAGACAAAAAGGTGCAAAGATGTGACAAAAATTGTGCAAAAATAAGACAAAGATGGTGCAAAAAAAGACAAAAGTTGTGCAAAAGACCCCAAAAGTGGTGCAAAATAAAGACAAAAAGAGTTTCAAAACAAAAGTTGCACAGACAATAAAAGCATCTTCACTTGTTGCTCTACTAACATGAGAGACGTTTTATTACTTTTCATCTGTTAACAAACTCAACATTTGTCTTTTGATACTTTTATGTTTTGCATCATGTCTCATCGTTATTTCTTACAAAAAGAAAAGTCAGATTATCACCGTCTGTTCTGTGACATTCTGCCACGTTCTTGTAGATGTTGTGAGAATGATAAAAAAAACAACCTTCAAGCAACAGTTAAACACAACAGAGTGAATCCCAGCAGCTTGATTTCCTCTCAGACACCATAACTGATGGGATTCATCAAACTAAAGAGCTGCAACATGAAACATGCACAACAACGAGACACAGATTCATCTTTTCCATCAACCAACATTCACAGAATCATCTGACTGTCCCTGCCTGCACCTTCAACAGAAACACAGCTTTTAAAAACTAAAGATCTGATGAAACTCTCTGAACCAGCGTCATGTGGAAGCGCTTCTCTCACCGGATGAAATTGAAGGCGGGGAACCGGATGTTGTTCTTGATGAGGACGGTGAAGTTCTCGGCTGCTGCCAGAAGAGCCGGTCTGCAACAACAAAACCACAATCGTCAGATCATGATAAATAAATACACCAAACACCAGAAACGCTGCTGTTGGGCTCCTGGAATTACAAGAGTCAGAAAACAGGAAGAAAGTCTGATATTGGCTCAGTGCTGCCCTCTGGTGACCAAAGTCTGGAGCAGCAAGTGAAACCTGAGCAGAAACCACACCAACAGGATTAGAACTGTGTTTCTGGTGTCTACTAGAACATGCTCACATGCTTTAATGTTAAAAAACACTTTGCTTTTCTCAGCTGGTCCGACAGAAGTCACACAAGTCTGGACTTTAAACGGGATGTTTCAGGAGTTTTCTCCAGTTTGGTGTCAAGGTTGAGCTTTGGAAGTTTGCAGACTTTATATATGCATTAAAAATAATGATTTTAAAAACAGCTGTAAAACACACTAAAGGAAAAGAGGAACCAAAAACACAGACTTTGGGCTCTTTATCTTGAATTTAACATGTAAAAAAAAAAGAATGTTTCTGCACATTGTCATGAATTAGTGCAAAAATACAGCCACAGTCAGCAGTTTTTCTAAAATACAGTAAAAAATTGTAAAAATCTGATGCCACAAACCAAAGTTCAGCTCAGAACGGTTCACAACTTGACTAAGGCAACAAAGAATGTTGTTTTTTTTAATTAAAAAAAAAAGAGAGAGAGAGAGAGAGAGAGAGAGAGAGAGAAGCAGTGTAAAACACAAAACCAAGACAGTTTGAAACTACACGAAAACAGCACAAAAATAATGATGAAATATTACAGAAACAAGATGAAATATGTGCAAAAACAGTCACAGAGGGTTGCAAAACACTGTGTCAAAACAAAACGATGCAAAAACAGAAACAAAGTGTTTTGCAAAAAAAAAGTGAAAACTGCAGCAACAACAACAACAAGACATAAATGGTGCAAAAAGTGACAAAAAATGGGGCAAAAATAAGACATAAATTGGTGCAAAAAACACAAAAGTGGTGCAAAATAAAGACAAAAAATGGGGCATACATATGTCAAAAACTGTGCAAAAATAAGATAAACTGGCTGAAAATAAGTTAAAAACGGTGCAAAACAAACACAAAAGTGTTGCAAAGATATGACAAAAAAGACAAAAGTTGTGCTAAAAACATAAAAAAAATTTGCCAAAGAGAAAAATGGTGCAAAAAAAACACAAAAGTGTTGCAAGGACATCACAAAAATGATACAAACGTGATTTAAAAAAAAAAAAAAAACTGCAAACTAACTGCAAAAATAAGACATAAATTGGCTGAAAATATGTTAAAAAACGGTTCAACAATAAGACAAAATGTTGCAGAGACGATAAAAGCATCTTCACTCATTGTTCCAAATAATATGAGAGACTTCTTATTGAAGGAACTGTTCAGCTTGATCCGGGTTACCTCGGCGGCTTGGTCCTGGCCTCTATCGGACACCACGCCGACACTTGGCAGGTTTTCCTCACCACGTCGAACTTCACACACGATCCCGTCTGAACCCCTGCAGACAAACAAGCCGTCCTTTAACTGAAGCATAAAGTCCAGAACCCACACGGCGGCGACACATTCCTCGCCTTCACAAGGAAATGGCTCAGGTTGTCTCCACTCGTGAGTGTTGGCAGCAGCAGGACGGAGCCAATAAACTGTAGTCTGAGTTTATGATCACGATAAAACACATAAAAGGTGATTAAGTGGAAATCATCAGCGGTTTTCTGATCAAAAATCTTTTAGTTGCTTGAAAGTGTGTTTTTCAGAAACTACGGATTTTTAAAATGGCATCTGTGAAAACAATCCACATTCAGCACTTTCAAACTAAATAAACCAGAAACGATCGCTCTGATTTCTCATCTCACTGATTTAGAACCATATATGAGACCACAGCTTGTTGTATCGGCTCAATCATTTATGACATTTCAATGAAAAATAAATACATTTTCATTTTTGCGACCAAGTATTTGACATTAAAAGTCTTCTACATGTTTACACTGATAGAAAACATCACTACCTGTCTTGTGCTTTATCAGTTATTTGGTTAATAGCTGCTCCAAGATCAAACTTTTGAGATTAATTGGTCTATTTGTCCAGTACTGCAGATTCTGAATCAACAATGTGATAAGAAATAAGAAATAACGGTGGACAACAAGTTTTGGGTTATATTACCACAGTAGTTTTTTTTTTTTTTTTTTTTTTTTTTAACATTTTATTATTATCATTTGTATTTATTTTTATTTTGTATATTTTTATTCTGTTTTTAAAATATTTTTTAGATATTTTTTTTATTTTTTATATTATTAAAAAATGCATATTAAACAAGGGCTCGGGTCTTAAGAGGTTAACGACATGTTGTTGTCGACGGGCTTTTTTTTTTCTTTTTTAAAATAAAGTTCCTTTCAAAACACACCTCTTTCAATATCCATATTTTAGGCTTTAAAACGTTCGGCTAAATCAGAGCTGAAATGATGACTTCTGCTACTTCTGGAGCTCTAAGAAACCAAAAGCTGAGATGAGCAGAAATATAAAAATAATGAAAATAAGCGAGTAGTATGCAAAAGTACTGTTGACGGTAGACTGATCTGCATGTTTGGTTGCTCTGAATGGGGAGAATAACAACACTGCACAGAGTTTGTTCTATATTTAGATGCTTCGTGAGTAGAAATAGTGACGTTACACTGATTCTACAAGTATTCATGTTATATGTTGATGCTGATGTTATGTAGAGTTTCCTACATGTGATGCAGTTTGAGAAATCTCTAGTTTGGTTTTCTGGCCTTTGTTAGTATTTTCTGCATCATGAACACGTGATGCAGGTTTTCTAAAAGCTCGTCTTGTGTTGCTTTCAGACACAGAATCAAAATGAATTATCATGAACTAATCAGTAGTAGTGGTGTTAGTTTGGTACCGTGGCTGTGCTGGTCCCAGCCTCCTCTCTCACAGTCCTGGTCAGAGCGACAGCCTCCGCCTTTGGAAGGAACCTGGAATAAAAACACTGCTGCAAAATAAGAAAGTTCTGCTAACTGTCCATTAGCACTGAGCAGCTAACTGACTGGTTAAACATGTGAAAACAGCACTAAAGACGAAGCAGCACCTCTGCACACTTTCCCTGCTTCTGGTTCTGCGTCACGATGACGTTGGTGATCACGAAGAAGGAGTTTTTCTCCTGAAAGCAGACAGAACAAAAACGTCTTTAAATGCTCCTCCTTGTTAAAAACCGAGAGTCGAGAGTCTCAGCAGCAGCAGCGGAGGACCCACCTGAGAGGCTCCGCTGAAGTCCGCCACGTCCCAGACGAGCTCACCGACGCCGGGCAGCCGAGCCTGAGCGACACCCTTCACCTTGGTGGTGACGGAGCTGACGACCAGGTCGAAGGCCTGGTACTTCCTGTCCCACAACATCATGATGCTGCAAATACAGGAAGGAACACGCAGTTTACAGGTGTTCAAGGGTGTTTAAAGGTGTTTAAAAGTGTTTAAGGGTGTTTAAGGGTGTTTAAGGGTGTTTAAAGGTGTTTAAAAGTGTTTAAGGGTGTTTAAGGGTGTTTAAGGGTGTTCAAGGGTGTTTAAAAGTGTTTAAGGGTGTTTAAGGGTGTTTAAGGGTGTTTAAGGGTGTTTTCGGGTGTTTAAGGGTGTTTAAGGGTGTTCAAGGGTGTTTAAAGGTGTTNAAAATCTTAAATACAACATTTTTCGAGGCATTCTTTGTTCTGAATTCAGTGTTTCATTTACTTTTAAAGACCCTGTGCTCTAGATGTCAGTGTAGAAATGATTTTCCGTCCCCACCAGAAGATCCTTCTCCTGCCATTGGGTCCAGCCCGGTTCTGAAACCAAACCAAGAATTTGGTCTATGCATGGCTAGTTGTTTTTTCTGCTTCTCTTGCAGATAAAGAGCTTCTTGTCTGCAGCAGGACAAGCGTATTGTTATGTGGAAAACTGAGCGACCGTCGCACAAAGACACAAGAAGACGCACAAGCCGTCATGTGTGCAGAGCTGGAATGTAACCGACGACATTAACCGTCAGACTTTCTGCAGAGTTGAACGAATGAAGCGTTGGTTGTTTTAAGACGACAGAGACACAAAACCCTCACAAACACACAAAACTAAAGATGAAAAACAGCTACAAAAAGACATAAAACAACCACAAAAAGCACAAAATGACCACAGAAACCCACAAAGAAACACAAAATAACCACAGACACAAAAGTAGAATGACACAAAACAAAAGCAAAAGACCCCCCAAAAAAACCATAAAGACACACAAAACAACCAGAAAAAAAGACAAAACTACCACAGAGAGGCACAAAATGACTGCAAATGGACACAACACTCCCACAAATGGACACAATTAGAAAGACGAAAAAATGATTGCAAAGACGCACAAAACCAAAGCAAAAGATCCAGAAAAACTACAGAGACACAAAATAAAAGAAATCAAATGACTGCAAATAGACACAAAAATATCAGAAACTCTTGGAAAAACACACAAAAGCCCAACAAAGAAACACAAAAGACAAAACAAAAGCAAAAGACGAAAAAAAACAAAAAACAACAAAGACACACAAAACAACCAGAAAAAGACAAAAAACGACCATAAACACACTTACCTTATCTTAAATGGACACAAAACTCCCAGGGAGACACAAAATGACAAAAAAAACACACAAAAGCACAACAAAGAGACACAAAACAACCACAAAGACACAAAACAATCACCAAAGTCATAGAAACCATGACAAAGACAAACAAAACAAATGCAAAAAAAGATTCCATTTTGTGAGTTTACAGTTTTTATTGCGTGATTCTTTAGTTGTTGTTTCGTCCAAATCAGACAAACAAAACAAAACGTTGACACCGTTTCACCAACCACCGTGCTTTCAGGAGACGTGACGTGAAGCTGTGCGTCGTGTGTCCTGACCTCCTCACTGGAACATCTTCCGGAAGCGGGCTTTGAGCATGTCCAGGTTCGGGTTGTCCTTCATCTTCTCCGGCATGCTGCTGGCCTTCATCAGACTCTCGTTGGCTTCGTCGACCAGCTTCTCTCCGACCTCCTTCTTCACTCGATCCCTCCAGGCCTCCAGCTTGGGCCGGCCCTCAAACACCTTCACGCCGGCTCCAGTGGGCTGCAGAAACCAAGACTGCTGGTGAATAAACTAAATGTGGATTAAACACCAAAGCCACAGTTTCTTCTTTTAGTTAGTGTGAGTTCAGGACGAGAGTCAGGAAAAAGTCTCAGAGTTTGTTATAAATGTGTCTACTGGAACCAAACACTAAGCTCTATGAGTCTTCTTCCCACATCATAATCCACTTTGAGGTGCTGCAGATTGAACTCTGGATTGCACAGAGCTGAACAGATTTATTAGACCACCACCCAGTGTCAGGTTTACACCACAGCTGCCCTAAATTAACAGCATTGGTAATTACCTAAATCACTTCTTATGTTTCTGTAACNGTGTTTAAAGGTGTTTAAAAGTGTTTAAGGGTGTTTAAGGGTGTTTAAGGGTGTTTAAAGGTGTTTAAAAGTGTTTAAGGGTGTTTAAGGGTGTTCAAGGGTGTTTAAAGGTGTTTAAAGGTGTTTAAGGGTGTTTGAGGGTGTTTAAAGGTGTTTAAAAGTGTTTAAGGGTGTTCGAGGGTGTTTAAGGGTGTTCAAGGTTGTTTACGGGTGTTTACGGATGTTGAAAGGGGTGTTTATGGGTGTTTAAAAGTGTTTATGGGTGTTTAAAAGTGTTTATGGGTGTTTAAAAGTGTTTATGGGTGTTTAAAAGTGTTTAAAGGTGTTTCAGGTTGTTTACGGGTGTTCAAGGGTGTTTTAAGGTAAACAGAAGGAGAACACGAGTGAAGAGAGAGAGAAGTTCAGATCAAAGATAATCAGGATGTTGTTGTGGTTTTAACCGACTCAAACCTGGTTTAATTTTATTTAATTTTTTTATTATGTTAACTTGCAGGTTCATTGTTTGGTTTCTAAGAAGCCACACAACAGAACGAATCCAGTCTTGGTGTTTTAGTCTCTTTTTACCACTGTTTTTGTTCACTTGTTGCACAGTTTCTGTCTAATGTTTGCGCCGCTTTTTCAGTATTTCTTGTGTCGTTTTTACACTGCTTTAGTTTTTGCACTGTTTTTGGCGTTGCACACTTTTCGTCTTGTTTTGCACTGTTTTCTGTTGTACAGTTTTTCTCTTGTCTTTGCACCAATTTTTGCACCAATGTTGCCGTCTCTGCACCATTTTTCTCTTGTTTTACAGTCTTATTTTAATGATTTTTATCATAAAACAGTTTTTGTCTTATTTTTACATCTTTTTGTCTTGTTTTTTTTATCTTGTTTTTGCAGTTTTTATCTTTTTTTAACACAGCTTTGGTTTTGTTTTTACAGTTTTTGTCTTGTTTTTACATTTTTTTGTTTTAACACAGTTTTATTTTTGTTTTTACAGTTTTTGTCTTATTTTAACAGTTTTTATCTTGTTTTTAACACAGTTTTGTTTTGTTTTTTAACACTGTTTTCGTCTTGTTTTTTGCAGTGTTTCTTGTAGTTTTTCTACGATGTTTTTTGTGTCTTACACTATTGTTGTTGTTGTTGTTTGGTTTTGTTACAGTTTTTGTCTTGTCTATTTACTAGTTTTTTCTTGGGTTTTTTTGTTCTCTTTTAAATTTTTAAAACAGTTTCATCATGTCTCAGATCTTCAGGTTGATTGTTTGCTGACTGCCACACCACTGGTGACACAGGTTCATGGATGAGTTGACAAAGTTGTGTTGAGTCTCAGAGAAGCAGATTATGTTTGTTAGTTCAAACTGAATGAGTAACCTGCTGTATATGAACATGTGAGAACCAAAGACAGGCAGCTCCAGCATAAACATAAACACACTTTAGGTATTTCTGTTAGTATAAATCCTTCTGAGCCTCCAGTTCACGGACTCCTGTCAGTGTCCACAGAACTAGCAGGACTTGTGAAAGTGCAGGCTGAGGAAGTAAGCGCCGAGCTGCAGACGTGTGTGGGCTGAAACGTTGCACTCACCAGATGAAGAGCAGGATGGCAGCGTTCAGGCTCCACTTCAGAGAGCCGAGCCGGACCGACTGGATCCGGACCAGCTTGTTGGTTTCGTACTGACAGAGTTGCAGAATGGAGCAGCTCGGCATGTTTCAGGCTCCCGGTTCAGTCTGCAGGTGCTGAGGGAGGAATCTCTGACTCATTCCTTCACTGCTGCTTCCTGTGAGGACGGTCACATGACCAGACAGCTGCTGCACACAC